AAACTGCTTCTCCCTTAGAGATGTAGAGGGGTACATTTTCCTCCAGGAACCTTTTCCTCTGCACTTTCAGCCAGATCCGGGGTCAATTTTGACCTTGCTATTTCTTTTGCTGGCTTTCACGCCACACCAAATTTGATCCTGTTGTGTTCAGTTTGGGGAAACTTATCCTGCAGATGGATGGATGGATGGATGGATGTGTGTGCACGCGTGCGCGTGCGTACACACACACACACACACACACACACACACACACAGACCAGCTTCTAGATGATTAATCACCGCATTAAACCTTGGGCAAACTCAGTAGTATTGATCAGTCTTTCCATTACATCCATAAAAAGCCAGTTTGCAAGCACAACATGAATACATATCAATCCAAGATTACAGCAGTATCTTTCCATTATAAAACAATAAAATCTGAAATGTCTTTAAATGATATAGGGTCTCCTGCTTGGCCAGGGGCTTGGACTAGAAGACCTCCAAGGTACCACCCAATTCTGTTATTCTATTATTATCAAGTGAACTTTTTGTTATTCTGTTCTGTTATTATTATTATTTTCTCTATACCTCATGCTTGATAGATCCATAGTTGTCTATCACATTCACATCTTAAAATATTTTACTCTTTGCATATTAAGGAACTTATGGCTATGAAACCAAAACGGGACAATAGTGTGACAAGTCCTATGCACAAGAATCCCCTCCATTTTTTCTTCTAGTATAAGTGAGTCCTTTTAAAACATCTTCTGAATGGTCCAATAAATATGAGAAAATATTTTTTGATTTAATGTCATCTTAAGATAACAGGAAACATACATTAGTCGAGACTTTAACCTGTTAGTTATTATGAGGAACTCCAATTTTGTATTCCAAAATTCTTGCAAATACCATGTCCATTTTAACAATACTTTTTAATTTAGAATAAACCTGAACACATTTCAATGCATATAGTAGTCAGGAGTTTTAGATCGTGATAATGCAATTGAATTAACCTCTGAAATCAAAAGCTGTTTTGATTGGATATATTATGACCCCTTAATCTTATATATCCTGATTCCTCTTGCAATAATTTAAATGTCTAAAAAAACGTGATTGGAAATTAGCATAACTGCAGTACTAATACTCCTATTAGTCTATGAATTGAAAAAACAATTTTATTTACAATTTCTAGATTATGATTATTACAAAACATGTTTATGATATGAATAAAAATCAATGTTACATTTCTATTTTGAATTCTTTTAAAAATGACCTGTAGTCTTTAATACTGCAAATATGGTATTGACTAAATTACTCAGTTATAGTCTGGGTAGAATACAAGTCTTTTAAATAAATAAATAACTGAATCTCAGTGCCAAGATATCATATTTTTTTAATTGCAGCCATAATGGTTTGGGATTTGTACAGTTGGAGTAAATAAAGAAATGAAGTTAAATACTTTCCAATGATAAAGCCAAAGTTATGAACATCATAGCTCTGTTGTCATAATTTAAAGAAAAATTTCAGGTTCATGTTTCCCATAAAAACGTTCCTACACAATCATTTTCTGCCAGATGTTCCTGCTACTTCCATTCCCTTGATTAAAACCTCCCCTTTTCATTTTCATTGCCTTATGTTATTTGGCAATGGAATAATGTGCCCAGTAAAATGTGTGAATTTAATGAATAAAACCACGATAGAAGATTAGAATGATAGACATCACCTTGTTTTATGGCACTTTTGTTTTAATGCACTTCTCAGATATTTCATTTTTTTTACCCTACACCAGCAAAAAGATTATAATTCATTGAAGGCTCTGATGATTGGCATTTTTTTAGTAATTAAGTATTTTTTAAAAATCAAGGTATATACATTGGGTTTTTTTTAGACAATGCTATTGCACACTTAATAAACTATAGCCGGGATGGTGAACCTATGGCACGCATGCTGAAAGTGGCACGCAGAGCCATTACTGCTGGCACATGAGCCCTCACGCAGAGCAGGTCTATTACGCATATGTGCATGCTGTCCTCCTGACAGCTAATTGTTGGGTATCTGGCGAGCATGTGCAGGGGTGTGTGGGAGATGCATGCGCATGCACAGAGGGGCGTGCATGCATGAGCAGGGGGTATGGGGGGACCTGCGTGCATTGCCTCCTGGGTGCTGGCATGTGAGCGAGTGCACACAGTCAAAAAGATTAGCCACCAGTGGACTATAGTATAAACATATTTCTATATGCATTGGGAAACACAAAAAGTTTATAACTTGCTTTATTGGGATAGTCACTTTATTGCTCTGGTCAGGAACTGAGCCTGCAGTATCTCCGAGACATCCTTATTATACATATTATCTCATTCTGTTCTTTATGTGTGGTGATATTTGGGAACAATTCAGTATAAGCTGTGAGAATGTATGTGTGCACTTACCTAGAAAGTAAAAACAAGGACTGTAGTCTCATACCTGTTACCTCTCATGTAGATTACAGGTAGTCCTCAAGATATGACGGATCATTTAATGGTTGCTCAAAGTTACGACAGAAAACCTCTCCTCCCCAAAGTTCAAAAGTAGCTTGGAAATCTTTTTGTTGCCTGCCTGGCTGCCTTTAGGACTCAGCTTCTGCATTTGGGGAACATTTGTGCTGTGGCCACTTTTGCTTTTGGTCTGAACTTTTCCTTCAGCTTCTTGACTGCAAACAGGCTGCAAAAAGATTTCCTTCGCTTTCTTCCTTTCTTCTAATGTATTCTTCAGCCTGGAATCACTCATCAAGGCAAGTAACCTAACAGAATTTTCCGCCTTCTTTCCATGCAGGCAGCTGGCTCCCCCAAAGCCTAACAAGAGCCAGGGGAGGTTTGCAGTCTCCCAGCGGCCACCTGATTGCGGTAGAGACCCACCCCACAAGCTCGACATCATCTGTCAAGCATGGAAGCTTGTTTGGAAGCCTCTCTGGCATTGCAACGCAGTACTGGGTCCTAATCTAGCTGGGCTATTTCCCCCTGCTGAGCTGCTTCTGGCTTTGCAAAACCTTTTACTGCTGGTCTGTCTCCTTTATGGATGTTCTGACCCAAATCTTGTTCCAAGGAAACAAACACGAAACAGAGGTAACAGCAAAACCTTTTAATGATTCTTTACAAATTCCGTTCCTTCACGGTTAATAGGCTGTTTCAAATTAATTGTCTCTGATAAGAACAAGCCTTGCCAAGGTTGTACAAGGCTGCCAAGAATACTAGATAAAGTTACTAAGAAATATTTCAAACACAAAGAGTCTCCAAACCCCAGCCAAGATACTCTGAATTTCCACAAGGCTTGAGTGCAAAAACTTCGTTGCTTCCTGCAAAGAACTCCGGTTTCTCAGCTGGCTTTTAACTCTTAAAATACCATTACCATTACCACTGCCATTACCTTGCAGCCTTACTCCTGAGTCGCCCACGCTACTGCAGCTGCTCTTTCCTTCAAGCAGCCCTCCGCGCAGACGCACTGGGCACAGGCTCCTCGGGGACCTCTTCATCACTGCTGCCAGCCTCCACACTCTCCGAAGGAAGCATTCCACTCCCTGATGGTCCTGGCCCCATCCCTGCATCACACACAGGCCCCTCATCTGAGTCCTTGCTCTCCGAGATCTCAGCCATCCACACCTGCTGCTGGCGAACCACAACAACAGACCTGGAACTGGTGTCACTTAACGGTTGTCACCACTTGTGTGTCAAGCGCAGGAAATCAGAAGAGAAGGCAATTCAAATGAAGACAGGTTTATTGCATGCTAACACTCTTTACAAGAATCTGAACTACTAACAGTCAAAGCAAATTGGTGGTAGATCAGAGTCAACAGAATTCAAAGTGGGCTGAACTTAGATCTCCTGTGCATGTGAAGGGATTTGTGACTGATGATGTGCTGTGAAACAACCTTCATCTTCTTGTAGAAATTTATCTCATTTCATTTCAATCCTGCCTTATTATTTTTACAAACAACTCAAGGTGGCAAACATATCTAATGCTCCCTCTTCCTCCTATTTGCCTCACAACAACCCTGTGAAGTGACTTGGTGTGAGAGAGAGAGAGAGTGAAGGGACCAAATGCCTCTCTCTGATTTCAGGAAGGTAAAGCAAGTTCGTCAACAGAACTTCCAATGCTTAAACATTTGTGGGAAGGAGGTTCCTCCTTATGATGGTGTGTTTTTATGTATGTGTTGTTATATTTGGTAGTGCAGTATAAAATAAGAAGGTAAATAAATAAATGTGTAGGATTGGTTGTGTATATATATGTGTGTGTGTATACATTGTGTATTGTGTGTGTATAATTGTGTATGAAACACACACAGTCCTTGACTCACAACATTTTGTTTAGTGACCATTTGAAGTTACAACAGCACTGAAAAATATGAGTTATGGCCACTTAGAACTGTTGTAACATCCCCATGGTCAGGTAGTTCACATTTGGATGCTTGAAAACTGGTTCATATTTATGACAGTTGCAGTATCCTGAGGTCATGTGATCCCCTTTTATGACCTTCTGGCAAGCAAAGTCAATAAGGAAGCCAGATTCACTTAACGACCATGTTACTAACTTAACAACTGCAGTGATTCACAAATGTGGCAAGGAAAGTTGTAAACTGGGACAAAACTCACTGAACAAATTTCTCGCTTAGCAACATCAATTTTGGGCTGATTTGTGGTTGTAAGTCGAGAACTACCAGTATATAGTTGCAACTTATTCTGTATCCAACTAAAACAGCAGAATGTAAAAATTATACATGTTATTTTAAGCTTGTGGAAAGACAGTTGCACAAGGGAGAAAAAGACAAGAAAAGAAGAAATAAAACATAATTTTGATACTGAGAGACACCTTAATGTTGCCTTGTTTGCAGAAAGACTTTGCAACGTGCACAGAGCTTTGTCAGGCCTAGAGTCCTTCATTCTAATCATGTTGAGACCAATTGCTAAGAATGCCCAATGCCTAGTGAAATTGCTCTGATGATTCATTTGGAGAAGAAGCTAAGATAATGCTGGGGTCAGATAACTCCGATTTGCGTAGAGAAGGGAATTTCCCAAGTTTTTCAGCTCATTCTTTTTCACGGATGGGAAACATTTTGTAGTCAATAAATAAAAATATTTGAGTCTTAAGGAATCTGTTAACAGGATTAGACAAGCAGTGAGCTTCAGGCTATATAAAATTGCTGTTTTTCATGGACCTACTATATATGATGCAAGACATGATGAAAAATGCATTCAATGTTTTTTTCTGGACAAACGTCACTACTTTAAATTTGCAAAGGAGACATTTCATACTGGGAATAGCTTAACACAATGCACTATTCTGTAACATAGTTGCCTTGGTTTTGACCTAAAAGACTAACCCAGGCGTAATGATTTATAAAACAGGACTCATGGTTTCACATGAGCTGTGAATTCTACTGTTGTAACCTAGTTTTCAAACTGTAGCCAACATAATCTAGGTTGCTTGTTCATGGCTACCAAGCCTGTGGTGGCTTTATGCCAGCACATAGATTTATTAGTGTTTTTTTGCCTAATACATCATTCTGTACCGCATTCCTCCAGGTTACAAAATGTGGGGATTTTTGTTATTATGAGTATGGGAGCTTACTGTAGATAAAATAAATTGATAATTTAATGTTTCCACACTTGGCTTTGAAATGAACAAAACCAATGGAGTGATGTAGTGGCTAAGATATTGAAGCCATAGCCTTGAGGAAGAAAATATTGGTATTGGCTAAGATATTGAAAGTTGAAATTGGATCAAGTAAGGCCTGTCATTGTCTCTCAGTCCTGGATATTGGACTGGATGCTATATTTGTAAATCAATAAATAGGCCTCTCTACTTATCTTATGCATTGTGGAAAGGATGAGGGAAATTTACAAAAAGGCAGAATATAAATGCTATATTAGCAAATGAAATGGCTTCCAGATTTTGGGCAAAGCCATTATTGTTTACAATTGTATCAATCAGCCTCTATTTGGGGCCTCTTTAAAAATGTGTTTGTTCAAAAGAAGTTGATGATCTTATTTTTCTTGTAGCCATTCATTTGGAGGTTCTACTATCTTTGCCAATGAAATTATCTTCCTAGGATTTGGAAGGCTATTGTTCCAGCATGCTTCCAAGGTCTTTACGTAATTGTGTGATAGCATACATCCTTTCTATGCTGAGGTTTCAGATTCAGTCCTAGCCATTTTTGGACAGGTCTGAGAAACCCTGAATGATTATTGTCAGTACTAGTTGAGGATGGGTTAGGTTAGGGTTAGTGCATAAAAGTGTACAACTGTTCTCTCTAAGGGTCACATTTCTTTTGCAGGAAGATGCAAGGTAGGTCACACTGAAGCCAAAAATACCTCTGGTGCTCTTCCCCCTCCCTCTTCTGGAACTCCTCTTACTATATGCTCTTCTCTGTTACTTGTGGAAAACAAGCTCTTCCTGGGTATTTGGAATCACTGGCTTGCAGAGCCCATTTGAAAGTAGGTCAAGGAGCACCAACTTTGCTGGGGTTGCTCATTCCTGTGGTAGACAGGAGGGAGCTGGACTAATAATCTGACTTGAGATAAGCAACTTTCCGCAAGACCAAAGGAGAGTACAAATTATGGCCATCCCAATTCCAGATATTATCGTAATGTACATTCTTATTTAAGTATCTTTACCTAATTCTCCCTGTGTAGTCCCAGTAATACTTTTACTTGGTGCTTGCCTGACAAAGAGTCAACAAATGCTTGCTATATTTAAATTTAGAAAGCAATGGATTTTTGGCTGTCAAACCTTTTGAGTACTGTAAAATGCATACGGTATTGATATTTTGAGCTCAAAACAAAGCGCTATGTTTGGAAGTTTCCTCCTTCCAATTTTTTGCCCCAAAATTGAGTATTTTCTTCTAAATTGTTTCAAAGTTTTCTGTATTTTATGGTTTATGTTTGTCCTTTTAAATTACCAAACATGGGAGACCTTGAAGTACATCAGCCAATAAAGCAACAAGGAAACTAAGTCTCTGGTCTGAAGACAGGACAAAGTTTAGTAAGGCAATCATTTGTTCAGATGCTGGGACAAGTAATTTTGGACATAGAAAATAGATGTAATTCAGTCTGGTTATTAAGTTTTCTGTTATTTTAACTCTTTGCTATGAGAAAGTTAAAGCTTGCAGATAAAATGGAGCATAACTCACTTAAATGTCTCGTAGCAACATAAATTTTGGGGTCAATTGTGGTCATACATTGAGGACTACATATATGTGGTGAACTCTCCTTTTCAATAAATTGCTATTTGTAAAAAATATGCATTAAAGATGCAAAGCATTATTAAGTTTTCAAATTGCCAGATTATTACATTCATACTCCATGTATCTGTTCAAGAAAGATTGCATATTTTAAACATGATAAAAGATAATCAAAAGAATGAAATCACAAGTAGTTCGACAATAACAAGTTTGATG